GACTTTATTAATGAACACATTCATGTTCAACATATTACGTTGATGAAATACAGGATTTCTGTTCAATTCCATTACATCATGTATATTGTCACTTTTATGAGAAGCATATATTTCTTTGATTACAACCTTGACTTATAAATACGGCCACACAATAGCATCTCCAGTAAATTTAAATTGGTTTTCACAGTGACTGAGAAATGGTAACCGTAGAAACATGACTTGAATAATTATTTTGTTTTTTGCTCAGCAAAATTAATTAAGAATACTGTTAACATGCAATTTTTGCACAGTATTTATTCAAAAATATCATTATAACTATAACCAAATGTACTCAGAAAACAATATTTTTTCGCAAAAAAATAATAAAAAATTCGTAATTACTTTTAAGAATAGAAGTCGTTTTCATTTTAGGTAAAAATGGAGATGCCGGAGTTAGTTCGTGTATTACGTTCTGAAATGATGTGCTTTGGCAGTTAGATCTCTATGAAATTTCTTAATCGGACAGTAGTTTTGAAACAACTCTGTTACCGGTTCAGATAAGACACCTCGTATAGACGATTACTATTAATAGTATAATAACAATAGTAATTTATATATACATACATATTCATATTACTTATAGACACGGAATATAGAATTGCGATCCATTTTGGAATGGACCTTGTTTTTCATATTTTTTCGACGTTACATAATCTCTAGAGTACGAAAAAATAGGTCTCCCGGCTCCGTCTGTCTGTGTCAATTTTAATTAAACAGATAATCTCCGAAACTACTGAACCGACTCTTGTGAAGTTTTATAAGCATATGATTTAAGAATATTTTGTGGTTGGCAAAATGCTAACCAAATTTTGTCTAATCATGTTCACCACTAATTCGATGCTGTCCTTTCATCACTTTGCGTAGTAAAGGTTATCCCAATTTTAAACAATAATATACTTCTGTACTTGTGGTTTATGAATCCGACTTGAATTATATCACAATTACTATACACATTTTTTTATACAATATTTTTCACGTGTTTCACGTAGCCAATATCTCGCCCGTTTATAATATGCGTCGTGGGGATTTTTCAAAATAAATTTTACAATTTTTCGAAAAAACTAGATTTGTTTAATTGTGATTAAGAGACGAGGAAAATTGTGTTTAAATAACTCTAGACCTTTTTTAGAAAACATTGTGTTAGTATAATGCAATATTACTGAGGATGCATTTGTTTTCCCAACAGTTAGACTGATCATAAAATTACGACTAATTACTGTTAAGAATTATTAAAAAAGTGTTAATCTACGTAAATCTGAAACGTTTTTGTAAATTTACAACAAACTGGTTAAGACTGGAAACAATAATTTGGAAAAATTTCATCAACCCAACAAATCTAAAATGCCACAGTTTGATTATTATTAACTATAAATATAGCTTTTTATTCCAACGTCTTTAAAGGTGCAAAAATATCTATATTAATTCATCAAAATAAACAACATGTAACGTCATAAAGCGAAGGCTAATGACACTACAAACAAATCAATAATGTCAAAAAGAGCACTATTATACAAGTTCGTTTACCTCACAAAACAGTGTCTATTAGTTTTGAAGTCGTTAAATTTATTCTATTAAACTTCCGTATAGTTAAAGAAGATTCGATATTATTGGTTAACATCATGTCATCAATGTTCTCAATTTTTCAGCACACTCCAAGAACTAACGGACTATTTAGTTTTCGTTTTAGTTTAAAAACTTGCCTGGAAACAATTTAAAAAATTCCAAGATGATTTTGAAGTTTTGCCAAGCCATTTTAACGTGAAACGCTACACGTAAATCAAATATTAACTAGATAAGTGCGAAATCTCTACAAATATAAAAACATTAATAAAAATTATTCATTAGCATCATTATGTTCAATTTTGCTTCACTTCCAAGCCAAAATTTGAATTTCTCCGCCTTCTCTTGAAAAGTTAAAGCTTGCTTCTTTTAATATTTGTTCACAGAATGGAATTGTAATTCGTTTATGAAGTATAAAAAAATAATTTTGACAAACTATTTGTTGAATTATCCTCATTTGAATTGCATGTTTAATTTTTCATAAGTCAAGCAGTTTAAACTTTTTGGTTTATTCTTATTTTAATTACACGTTTAATTTTTCATAAATCAAGCGGTTTAATCGTTTTTAAAGATATACATATTTCTAACAAACCCATTATGCTAAAGGTGTTAAGTTATCGTGAAGATGGCAAAAAGTTTGTCAAAATCTGTCGATGTACTTGTTTCAAAAATTGATGATGTCATTTCAGAATATTTTTAAAAGGCTAAATAAATTTTACTCTCAAAATGTACTGCATAGTAAACTATTTGTACTTAGATTTAAAAAAATTAAGATTTAAACGAATCTGTCTGATTAACTGTTTTCCCTAAAACTGTCTACATGTTTTTTCAAAAATTCTGGGAATAGAGCACCCTCCTAATTTATGTTATGCAAAATTAAAGCTTTTTTGTACCTACTAAAAATTAAGACGGCTGTCTCAAAAATACTAAGTAAAATATTATGGAAATCTGCTCTTTATATTGGCTGTACTTATTTCAGTTTCAAAAAATTTAGATACTGGTACATTTACAAAAATGGTTGAAGGATGTTGAAAAATAAAATTTCTTCACCATCGAAAAACCACGTTTTAAGATTCAACCACACATAGCTTTACACTAATATTTTGCTTCTTCTCTGTAATCGCTTTATTCAATATTGACTACACAGTGCATCTTTGTTGTCACCAAGGCCTCACTCAATGTTTTTCAGTTCGTGCTGAGTAATTTTTGACTAATATATTTACCAAAACATGAGAGAAAATTTGTCAAACTTTGATATAAGACCCGATATCAAATATGTATTTTCAAAAACATTTTCATGCGCCATTCTATTATATTAAAATGAAATTTGTGACAAAAAAATATCCTGCAACAATTTTTTTTAATTAAAAATCAAAAATGGCCGTACGAAACTTTTTAGTTATGTCATTTCTATGATAGGGAAGATGAAGTGTTATATATATTTTTTTGGGTAAAAACCGTAGGCTTACTAATGGTTTCAATTATTTAAATGTCATAATATGGACAATTTGTCAAATCAAGTGTGTGTAGTATGTTCGTGAAATCACTGAATCTAGTTGCTTACCGCGATCTAGAAATTTTAAATGAAAATTAAAAGTGGTGAAAAATGCAATAAGGAAATATATGCGGTATTTGTACTTTAAATCATTTTAAAGAAAAAAATATTGCAACGCATTACATAATAATTGTTAAAAGATAATTGGCGTATCACGCATTTTGTTAACCAGTATGCCAAAAAATTAAAAGATCTACTATTAGGACAGAACAATTATTGAGTTATTTTTCTGCTGTGTAGTAATTAACAACAAATATTTTTATTTAAATTGTAAGTCGGCAATTATTATTATGTGCTTTTATAAATAACAAATGCTGGAGTGCTGTTAATTCATTTACAGTTGCTGGAAACTTAAATTTGCTACTATTGGTTAACCAGTAGCTACTACAGTGTATGTAATAAAGATAATATCAACATAATGTTAAATTATTATTAATTGTTGTTATTAATTAGCAACGATAGATTGTTGTATTAGATAAACGTTAATTGCACCTAATAATAGCTTTCAGTTTTAATATAATTACGTTATAGTGTGTTTTATCACTGCGTTAAATGTACATAGATATAAATTATTTCCAAAGCAATGTACAAGCACGATCTTATGGAACCTGACCTAAAAAAAAGAATCTGTTAATAAAAGTATGCCCAAACATAAAGCTCTAGTAAATTAGTTAAATTTAGTTTGGAGCGAATTGCGAATGCAAACAATTTATGATGTGATTATTATGAAGTATACTTGAACAGAATTTACTGTGAGGATGAAAGTTTCAATGGAGCGTTAAGTTAATAATGTTTTGATGATTTCTCCCGAAATAACTTCGGTATATCAATGCTGGAATTTAGTATCTGTTAGTTGGTAACATTCATAATAAAGATAATAAAAGTGCCACCTACCTATTTAAGTGCTTGGCGTTGTGATAAGTAATGGTATGCCAATTTAGCTAAACTGAAAAAGGTAGTAGTAAAAAATAAAAAAATGCGAGCAGTGTATATAGTAATTTCGTTTATTTTCAATTTTGAATTGTTAACATGTACATCACACATAAACCTAATTCTAAACGTCAGATCGAGTTCCGCTTAGGGAAATCGTTACTGAATTTTTGGTGCTGAGAAAATTTTGTTATATTCGCTCAATGGATAAATATACAAGTTTGAAGAATATATCAAAATTTTCAGGTTATTTTAAATATATAAATATTTAAGTTAAATTAACTAATTTTTAAATAAACATCTACTCTAACAACACTGGAAGTAATGGCACATTACTAATAATATACTAACAACCAGCTGACAGAATAACCAAATTCCATCACTGAAACACCGGGTCAGGTTCAACACACACACAGATTCTGATCTGATGCGTCCTTTAAGTACTCTTTACAGTCGTCACTAACATTACCTTCGCTATAAAATATCTGCTCTATCCACAGATTATACTTAAGTATTTACATCTAGTAAAGCTACTTATTTTAGAGTACAAGTCGATATGTGCACACGAGTGCCGTCATTTCACATACTGAAACTTTATACAAATTCAATACTACCTTGCTAATGCAATAGTCGTACGTATCTGGAAAATGCGAAACTTAAATTTCCAAACTAGGTACATAGTCATCATTGAATTTACACTACAAATGAAAATCACGCAAAATCGAGGAAAACTTAAATTTCCGATTTTCCAGGGGCAGCATATTTGCATCCATAGTATTTACAAAGTATTTTATACAGTAAGTCGCGTTCGATTCGCTCGGATTCTCATCGACACAGATTTAGCATTTCTGCGTAGCAGCTAGGTATATGTAGTACTGTGCTAGAGACAGCAGATACACCATGTTGCTATTTGTACCTTTCTCGTAGTTGATCTGGCGCTCCTGCTGACGTGCGTTATCCGCTGCCACCTTCAACAGCCCTTGGATATTGCGCAGGAGCGTCTCCGTCGAGGAGATGCTGGGATCTTGACTAGGACCATTAGCCGATGCTACCGCACTTGCTAGTGTAGAGTAGTTTAAGGCTGCTTGCTGGGAGTCGCTACCAGGAGCTGCTGGCAGGGGAAGGTCGCCTTCGTCCATATCTGAAACCAAATAAACTATTTTATCATAAAAGAACTCAAATGTTAACTTCAAAACAGATTATAACAAAGTATCTTTAAAGTTGTATTACCACTTCGTTTAGATGTCATCTAGAGCAACACAAGACCGATACCAACCAAGGACTTTCATAATGCAAATTTATTTGTTTTTATCTTTACAAGATCAGATCGTTGCCGACAGTCAACCGTAATTTTAATCTTTTACTACTAACTTAACATCATTATTTTTGTGGTACCTATAAAAATTTTTAGTCAGGGTATGCTTAAAATGAAGACTAAAATTTAAATTAAATATATATTTCGGTTTAAAACTATAAACGGAAAGACACTGTTATAGAAGAACTAACTAAGTTATTTTATAAGGAATTCGATTCGGCAACAAGTGATTTTTTTACGTATAGTAGTGCAGGTCAGGTATTGTGGTTAGACCACCATTATTCATAATAAAACCATCATTACCCGACCACAAAATTTTCCGGTTCAAAACGTGAAATAAATCAAATCCGAATAATAATATCTCTCTAATTTTTGAAAAGATGGTTTTTAAAAAGGGCTGTAATTCTTCAGGATGCAACTTTACGTGTACAATCCAAACAGAAAATGCTAATTACAGACCTCCACTACGCGAGTAGAACTCGTCAAACCGGCAATCCTCAAAGTAAGCCATCAAATCGAGCATGTCAGTTGGTCATCCATCTTGACCACAACCTCTTGGCCACATTAACATTCCCCATCTCATTTTTCCCATGTCTTAAACAAACAAATTAGCCAGATATATTTCTTGTTCGGCGAGAACATGTAACTTGTGCACGCATGTGCAATCAAAAATGATTTATTTTTAATGTACCAAACTTGTATCACTGGAAACGTCTGAAGGAGGAGGTCGGAACATTTAATTAACTCTCACGTGAACAAGAAACTATCTTAACTTTTGTAACTCTCCTTTCTCAATATTGATGTATGCGTTGGAGTCTAGTTGGCAATTAGCAAAAGATAGAAAATTAATTTCGGATAATGAATCCGCTATAGTGGATGTTATGTTGAAAGCCAAGAATAGACTTGGCACAGACTAATAAATTCGCTCTTTTCTTTTAGATATTATTCGGGAATACATTAATTTCACAAGCGATAAATTACAAAATTCTCATTCTCGTTATGTCAGAATATTAAATTAATTAATGATTTGTACGTCACTTTTGACCTTAGAAAGCATTAGTTTAAATCAGCTTTAGTCTGTCCAGTGTGAAAATTTTCAAGGGCTATTATGCTATAATTTTAAAGAGCTAGTAATTTAACAAGATATGTCGTAGTGAAAAAATGCTTGGAGATTAATTTGTGCTTTCATCGACAGAGGAAGTTTAGCGCCAACTAATAAATTTAACAACATGCGGAAAAATGGAAGGATCAAATTTTGACATTAAGGCCAACACTTATATTTTTATTTTTTCCAATCCCGTAATATATTAAAAGTTACTCTTTCGTGTGTCAATTTTTAACCGTATGACGTTTCGAGTGTTGTTTCTTTTTCTTATCCACAATTCGAGGTTTTAACTAGTTGTTTACAATGGTGTACACGTCATGCTACTTACAAATTGTAGAATATCTATATACAACTACGGCATTATGATTTTGATCCTCACATAAAATTTATATGTTAATTTACCTTATACCAATTATATATTTACGAATTTTCTCAACCAAATTATTTTTTGTTGTGGAGCTACCTGTCTTCAAACATCCACCACATCGCTTAGAGACTCTAATATATATTTATATATAAAATATAATTAACTAATTTTTTTATGTATGTAGTTATTTATTCTTTTTCTTGTTGTCTTTAGTAATTAATAATAATTTAGTAATTTTCTGACAATATATTTAGTAAAATATATATTTGCTGGTATTGCAGCTTAAAAATAAAACCGTATGATAAGTAGCTCCATTTATAACAGCTGATGTGGTGGGGACAGTTTGAGAATAGCTAACCCTACAACCATGATTACTGAGTTTCGTCAAAGTGTTTTTGGGATGGAAGTGTTTTAAAGTCAATTATTCGGGTGGAATGTAAAACATTCCAAAAACACAGACATAGATTCGAATTATTGATGAATAAGAGTAACTTAAGAGTCGGCTTAATAAGGGTGTAGTATGTAGCAGAAGTTTCAACATCACATTTCGGTTAACGAAGGACTTCTTTATGGTATTTTATCATCATTCCTACAGTTCTTTCTCTTTGATGCATTGCCCAATCTTTTTGTACAAAACACAAGTGCAGCACATCAGTCAGCTTTTAAATCCGACCGGACCTCGGTCACCGGATCCTTGTCCTCTCTTGGCGCGTAACACGATTCCTCATTTTGGTAATCAAACCCAGCAAGTTCGAGGACCGGTCCAGCGCCTCTTCCCTGAAGTGTCACAAATCGATTCAATCCGAGGGTTACAATCTCTTCGAAATATTTTTATGCGTTTAGCACAGGAAATTACCAGTAAATTTATTTTAATTTGAAAAACTACGTACTAACGTTGTTACAATACAACGACATAAATTTATTTTAGGAGATATCAAGATGTTCATTGTTTGTAAAATCTCTTCAGTGACACTCATTTTCAAAAAAGGGAACCAGGATTTTTTTTTAAATCATCAAATAGTACGATATCTCCAATTAAATAGTCTTTTGGAGGCCTCTCTATATTTTTTTCGGGGTATACAATATGAATTGCAGGTGGTTTTAATCTTGTGAAATGCGTGTCCTTTGCTTGTAAATACGTTTGCAATTACAACGTATATTACAATTCTTATCATTATTATCAGTTGTGTAGAAATTATGATAAAGGCATCTGAAATCATGTGGTTGCCTATGTAGAGAAAGCGTGTGTTTAAATCTGACCATAGTTGCTAAAATTTATTGCAGCCAGTTCCAGTTACAATTATTAATATCAAAGATCATGCCATAAAAAGTAGCTGAAAATGTTTGTTTGTTGAACCAGGACGCCGATTACATTTTGGGTCACAAGAATCTATTAACTTAGGTTGTGTTCACTAATTTTCTGCCAGAGGTTAGTTTCGGTCGCAAACGTGATGAAACCGTGACGAATAAAGCTACTGTCTTTTTTAATACGTTACATTAAGGTTAACAACTAAATAATAATAACCACAAAATTAATCCTTCATCACCATTAGATATACCCATCTTTGGCTACGGTTTTTATTTATTTTTTGTCCTGGATATCTGCCGTGTTTACTCCACTGACACCTTTAAACACAATACACAAAAACTCTATTTTTACGCCCGCACCCCGTATACTTATGTCAATACCAAAAACAAAGAACGATGGAAACGTGTCCCATAATTCTGTATCAGCTTCTAAAACAATGCCACCCTCTTAAGGCAGTGCTTTGCCCTCGATCCGACCCGGCTCTAAATTTACCTTGATCCTTCTCGTCGTCCTCTTCCGGGTCGGAAATGTTGTCGTCCTCGTCGTCCTCTGCCGCCGACCGCGGCGATCGCGGGGACGGCGGCACGTCGGGCCCGTCTGCCTCGCTGCCGGAATGGTCGCCGTCCCCGAGCGAGCCGGCGCTGCCGCCGCCGCTCTTCGACAGGTTCAGTACCGGACTGTGGTCGGTCGGCGAGCCTGGAATAAAACGGGTTACGTTTGAATTAATTCGGTCCAGCCGAAATAAAAAGTTAACTATCACTCCGGGATTTAATTAATGGTTGTAAAACGGGGATTTGGTGCGTCGGACGTTACACGAACCAATCTCGGTGGTAATAAATTACGCGAGGGTCACAATTAAATACGCATATGCAGAAATTGAAACGAATACCCTGGTTAAGTCTCGAAATAAATCGGACTGTTGGCTCTTTTAGATGAACGCATCAATCTGAACGGGTTGGGGATTTAGGGCCGACAATTGGGGCAAAACAGATGGAATAGAGGGAATTTTTGGGTCTATTTTTAATTTTTAATTCAATTCGTTATGAATCGTAAAATTATTTTTTTCGGGAAAATACGAGTACTTTTCAAACAATGAACGAATAACACTATCGCTAACTTCGTAAAAATATCATGATAGTGTTTGAAAAAAAGCATGAAAGCAAAACAAGAATATCAATTAAAATACAGTACAAAAAATGTCAATGATAACTACTACTTAAAAAAAGTTCTACTACTTATAACATTGAATAAATTAAAATCGTATCTAGTAGTAGTCAAATCTAAATAAGTGCCTACGTATCGGTCAATTCGACACCTGTAACAGGCGCTGACAGCTAACAAATTGACACCACTAAGTTTCCCTAATGCAGAACTTTAATTTTTTAAGATTTTAAATTGAAGCTTTTAGCTAACACTAAGTGGTACTAGTAAAGCCATTTGTTAGGAGAGTGGGTAATAAGGGTCATGGCAAGGAAACATATTTCTTTATCTATTTTTTTTGTAATTAATTTTTTTTTTTTACAAAAAGGTTTTTGATATTGTTATGGTGGCACCTCCACACCCTATCTGTTTTATTATTAGTGATACACCAAGATTACAAAAATTACTGTTGTAACTCTCACTTTATGCGCAAAATATTAATTTTTTTCTTTTACTTTCCGGGAGTATCTACTGTGTGTACTGTGATATAGTCAATTCGACGAATGGCTAATGTCATGTTTTGCTACGATTTCATGTAGAATATGGAGATGTGTCTTCGTTTCCGTCTGTCGGTCTGTCGTCTGTCTATTTATTGGTGATTTCAATATAAATATAATCCCAGAACTACTAGAACGACGTCTGTGTAATTTTAATTGTTCTTTCAAATAATGGCGTAGATGACGGCTAAAAGTTAAGCAAAATTTGTTTATCCATCGCCACTAATAATTTGATGAAGCCGTCTCAAAATTTTGCTCGATAAATTCCATTTACATAAATTAAAAAAAAATTAAATGCAAACATCTGTATACTTCTAGTTTATTAATCTGCTTTCTTTAAAAAATTTAAAACTTTATCTTGGAAATCACAAAACTAGCTGCTCTAACTTCTTAAAGTGATCATTACAGTTGTAGTAAATCATTAATCAAAATATGATTCTTCTACATTTGTGGTTTATCAGTGCACCCTTGTATGTATCTATTTGTGGGAAAAAAAAATTTTAATTACAAAAAATCTGATGTGAGTGTTTTGAAATTTAGTATTTGCTTTGAGGTTATCATCATCCTGATAGACTGCTAACTAACATTTGTATATCCATTGGACCAAAAATTTTGATGACATCACCTCAAAAGATTGCTAAGCAAATCCTTTTTCAAAATGTCTAAAATAGTATGCCTTTATACGTGGCGTGTTATTATTCTACTCATATTTTTTTTATAAGAATTTCTTATCAAATATAAATTTGTACATAAGTTGAAATCAGAGTTTTTTATGAAATATTAAATCTTAAATTCAATTCAATTAAAGTAAAATATCGTAAAGCGCAAATCCTATTTTTTCAGGCCATAACTACAAATTCAAACAAAAAACCTCGAAAACAATGTTTATTTTTTGTAACACCTTTTCACATTTTGGATTTGCCAGCTTCTTCATTGATTGATAGAAAAAAAGCGTACCTACACTTCCTGGCACTTGATGTGACGTATAAAGTCTTTTATGAAAGACCATTAAAAATAAGTGAGCAAAGTAGGTGCGGATATGTCATTGCACTTGCCAGACACTGAACCTTGAAAAACATCAGTTCAAACTTCTTAGACATTGGTTGCGTAGAAAACCTGTATACTCTATGGGTGAACTTCCGAAAGAAATTAACACCTAGAAAGCTACAACCTCCTTTCCTTAAACTCTAACGAGACTTGTAAAGCATGTACTGTTATAATCCTTCGTACGCAAAAAAATATGCCAATAAACTCATCAAAAGTTATTTTGGAATTATTCAAAACTATACAAAACTTTGTTTTTACCACTGCTTGACAGTAGAACTTTAAACATATACTCGGTTTAATGGAGCCAGGAAGCAACAATCATACCAACATGATTTTATTTTTGTCTGACCATTATTATTATTTGGAAATTGTCAATTTAAGAAAAAAAATGGTGTTTGCTGAGAGCTATAAAATTAATTTTCTTCTCTTTCTGTTATGCTAACTTAGAACTTTTATTGCCACACGAAATCTCATTTTTAGTTCTTGCAGATTCTGTTCAGATTTTTATTTTTTTAGTTAACTTATTTATTTTGTAATGTTTAAACCTTTGTCTTCATTTTCTAGAATACGTTTTGATCTTCTGTCACCTAATTCCACATATTTTGTAACACTATATTGAACCCAAATATCAACACACCTACTATTCTCGCTAGATACACTAGTTCCCTCTGGTTTGGTTTCCTTACTGCATTATCCAAATTAATCTTGCAAAAGTTACTAAAAGTACTAATAATCTTCGTCCGATACCATTTTGTAATATAACTGACTGTATAGCTGTTTATTATTCCTTTTTGAAATTGAATTTGAAATAGCTTGAGGATTCAGACAACTTGAAAGCTTAGAGGAATGTAGCTCCCTATCAGGAAAGAGAGTGGTGATGTAGGAAGCCGTAGGTAGAATATAGATTAGGAAGTAATTTGTAAGTAGGTTAATTTAGTCCAAGAAAATGACGTAATTGCTGAAACGCGTCGGCATCGCGCTTAAATTTTCGGTAAAAAATATGTACATCAAAATGTGGATGAAAATTTCAATTTTGTGCCAGATTGTGTGATCTAACACTATCAATAATAATTTTTTCAGATGGCATCTTACTAATTCTCCCTTTTGTTGCATTATTATCCACCAGACAACTGCTTAACAAAACGTTCACAACTTTCTTTAAAGCAGTTTGTATGATTATATGAAAATGGGCATTTGAATGTCTACTTCCTATAAGTATTTAAGTTATAAAATTTTATGCAGTACCAAAAAAGTGGAAGTAACAAACAAAGGCTGATTTTGTAAATTTTGCATTGTTTGTAAATAAGGCTTTAAAATGTACCATTTTCAAAATCTTCTTCATAAAAATGTAAAAAAAGGCAAAGAAGACAATAAACGCCGTCTTTTTCTTTTTAATTTCTAGGTTTTCAATGATTAACAAAGTAAAATATTTTTGCCTAACTTATTTTGACAGTGCCAATAAAAAACAGCTCTTACCGCTGAATCAATATTAGGCATCTAATTTTCTGATAAAACAAAAAAATATTAGCCAGCTAATTTAATCAAATATAAATGGCCTAGAAAAGATTTCTTATGTGAACAATATGAGTAAGATATGTACAATGATTTAATGAATGTTTGTGCAGCGTTATACTATAATTATATTATTTATTATTCACATAACGATCTTTTAGCCTTTGCCGGAGAAATGATAAACTAAGAAAACCGTAGATTAAGAAGCAATCGAACAAGAAAAACGTCTTCGATAAAATAAGTAAGTTAATGTAAATAACTCTTTCGTTGGGTTTTCCTTACCATTTCTTGGGCTGAGGTCCCTGGCTTTTTGGTCTAACGGTAGCGGTCTGTCCGGATCGCACCTCTCCTCTCTTAACCTGCAACAAAAAAAGACACCGTAAATTAACAATCGAATGAAATGAATCCTGCAAATTATCGCGAATAAACAAAAGCGTCCAATTATGTTCATAAAAGCGAACGATACTGCAATTTTATCTTCATTATAAATGCATTACATTTCGTCCAAAACATGCAATCTGTCGATTTGATCTTTACCAAAATGTAAATTTTAACAGTTCTCGTATTAACAGCCGGCTCGTAAAACATGCAATTAGAAAAATACATCTGTTTTAATTAGAACATTGGCAATAAGTCGCGGATTCAGGGCTTTACAGCCCCCACGTTAATGGCAGGCACCGTAGGGGTCCCTGCGCCGCCTTCATTAAAACATCTCCGCATACATCTGAATGGGAAATTTGATAACTGGCAAATCCCCTTCTGCAGACCTGGAAAAAATCGGACAAAGCTGCACATCCGAGCTTCAGCCGATATCGGTATTGTGGGAATAAGTGCTTGGATCATCGAGCTTTGCGATGACTCCGGCCAGCTTGCCGGAGGCGATATGTTAGAAAAGCACTTTGCATATCTCCTTGCCACAAATATGAATAGGAAATGAACTAGTTTTGCTCCTGTATTGATTTACTGCTCGACAAAGAAGCTGCCATAAAAATTTTTAGTAAATTTTGATTACTGTTTTGGTATTATTTGATTCACTAATGTGCATTTAAAAGGTAATGTTGGCTTGTGACACAGTTTTACTTCCCGACCGTAAAACAGGGAAGTTTGCAATAGGGTCCATTTGACGAATGGCGAATTTTATGTTCTCTAAGTCCCCCTTTTCTGTCTTTTTGTCATCTGTTGGTGATTTTATTAGAGAGATAATCTGCGAAACTACGAAACTGAGTGTTGTGAAATTTTAGAATATCGTGTAGATGAGAAACGTTGACCAAAATTTGTCTGATTACGTTCATCAAATCGTATGTAAGCAAGTAACTACTTCATCAATTTAGTTGTAAAGTCTAAGGATTTCAATAAACCTGAGCATAAAACAAAAATAAGGGTATTTGTGTGTATTAGTGTGAACACTAGAAATCAAAAACCATTTGATATACCTATCAATTTAAGGAAAATGGTACAGCTAAAGTGCAATTATTATTGATAAATAGACGTTTTGTTTAAGTTAATGCTCCATAAGTCCTGTAAACGTTTTCATTGTGTTATAAAAAAGCACTTGCTGCTCAGCGTTACCTTTCAGTGGAACAAACCTCGATGAAAAATATGGACACTCTTGTACGATTAGGCTCTCGCAAGGATACGGAAAGACACTAAGAGGGACAGTTTAATTCCGAGTCGCTCGAATTAGCTTAGAAATGGCACCTAATTCACAAGAACAGTGGCGAGTTGCACAAGATAATTGGATTTCGTACCGTGTTAGGACGCTCAACGTTCTATTAAATAGATTCTTATCTCCCAAGATTCATTTGACCCGACTTAATTATGTAACAATACGGCCCCATACGCTCTACATGTAGAGGTGCCAGATCTATTAAAATATTGACACTAACATCCTAGAAATAGGCTCAAGCTGTTAAAAGCGCAACTATCGCACAAATCAAAGATTATTGAGCGCAACAGCCCATATACTATATGTTTTATGTATGCTGAAGAGTGCATGTAAATTGCTGCGGAATAATTGCATGTGATTCAAGTCATATATCAAATGGTGCTTCTGATACTGTGACTCTATTACACACCCCATATGGCTCAAAGTCCCTCGTTGGATCATCCGCGAGCTAAAAGTAAACGAGATCCACTCCAAAAGGTGCTGACTGGATCTTCCGTTTACACTGAAGTGGACGATTTTTGTTGAAATATGTAAATTTGATAAAACGATCGTCCATCACCAACAGACGCAAAACATTTCGTCTCGAAAATTTACATTTCCGTTCGACCCCAAATGAAACTTACATTCAACTGCGTAATCACTTTTAAGTTGCGATAAATTAGAAACAAGTAAATATATATTTTAAAGTCAATACCTACGAATGGAATGTAATACTTTCCGGTGAACTTATAATGACACAGACTCAGTAATGTGACTCAGTAAGAGAATTCGTGAAGTAAATTTGTGACAATAGTTATAGTATAGTACATCCACATAAAATATTTGCTAGTTTCTTCATCTAAATATGCACTTGAGATGTTTTCCAAAATACATAACTGAAAATACTCTAGAAGGTTATAATAGTCAATGCATATTTTTAAAGTCAACATGTTAAAATTATGAACCCGTAATGTGGAGAGAAAATCTAAATGATCGTTAAAAAACATTTGAATATAAAAACAAAATTAGAATAAGACCCTGTTCTTTCTCGCACAAGAATGCTTGAAAGACTTGATATGACTGTTAAGAAGGTGGGCCCATTTTCGGGGAGAGGAAATAAAAACTTGTTTGAACTGGAATTTTTGTTTTACTTTTCGTAAGCAAAAAATATTCTTAAGAAATAAAAATTCCATGGAAACAGGAACACTAGTTTACGTTATTACTGAAAAGAAAATGAATAGTAAATTAGTTCTAGTGAAATCGCTTCTTATAAGTTCGTACTAAATAATGACGATATCGAAAAGTTTTTAATGTAGTATAAGAAATTGACAAGTACAGCTAGAAGGATAATTACGAAGTACCAGCATGCGTTTGCGTCCATGCGTTACCACATTAGTAAAACTTTCAAAGTAACCAGATTATCTGGTAATAAATTTCATATGAACATGCCCATAATAGCCTTCCATATTTATTTTTGTGATAGTCACACATGTGTATACAGTATCCAGAAATCTGAACTGACTTTTTTATACGTATGTTTTTGTATGTGTTTTTAATTGTGTGATAAATGTTTGAAAAAGGGACGCATCCAGTAATTCTGCGTTGTTCGTTTAGATGTCTCGTTTTTCTTGATGAATTAAAAAAAGGTCTCGAGAAGATGAATACATTAAGTATCATGTTTTGAGCAGCGGGAATTGTCTGACACTAACGACCCTGCGCCTTTTGTTTCTAAAATATGATTCCTCTAATTACTCATAATTACACTTCGACAGTAACAAATTCGTTTTATCCCTTTGGGATTTCGTATTGAATGTAATTCAAGCCATCATTCGACGCTCGCAAAAAGACAGGTTCAAAGACACGCGCTATTCTTCTAATTGGGAGTCTTAAAATCTCGGACAATTAGCAACAGCTCGTTTGAGGAACAGTCCAAGACAAGATCTAAACGGCGGCGATAAATTATCAGGCAATAAAGCGAACCTTAAACATTATTGCCTCGTCAAATAAAACAATGCATATGAGGCCCAATAATAACGAAGTTCAACCCCCCAGTCTTCTCGGGTTTCGCCCACTGACAGCAAAACGAGTCGTGTTTATGACTTTTCATATATTCTTCGTTATGCTCACGCAATGTTTTTCAATTTGAACGGCAAGTTCGCAGCTGCAGTCTTGTCTAAATATGTAATAAAGTATCCCTCTGTATCTCCTTAAATTCCGTATCACATCGTGGCAATAATTCCGCGATATTTTTCTTGTTTAGTTAAGTTGTTTCCGCGGTGCGTTTCGCGCTTTCCGAGCAAATCAAATTTCGGATGCCTCGCACCTGTGCCGACCCCTCGTATAATTCCTTCCGAATTACAGCTATACATTGTCTTTATATCCCGCAGGATCTCGATTGCTCCTGTTAATGTTCTCAATGCTCTCAACGCTGCTTAGTCTTCGCATTACTTTTAAATATTCAAGCTACGTTAGGACGTCTCTAAAAGCATTTGGCCATTAAAAAATTAAGCGGCGGGTTCCTATTATATTATTATTTTATGCATACTTTACTGCGCACTAAATGGGAGGGAAATCGCTACCAGCAAAGACGCACACCACGCATTAATTCCATTTTTCCGCCCGATGCCCCCTTCGGAAATTCGTAATTTCAATTAAAGACCAAACCGCTTAATTGTAGAAGATGGCATGCCTAACTCGAACATTAATATTAAATCGGAACCCTTCAGGATAATATAACTACAGTAGGTAGAACTAATTATTATTTAATAACGGCTCCGATCTGCGACTACTTCGCTGATTGACTACTAATTGCCTCAAGACGTAATTAAAATTTAATCATCCCGGTACGACTGTGTTTGCGCTTATTTTGTTGCAATATCGATTCTTTATCGAGAAGTGAGAATTTGCGACCGAAAAATAACGAAATTGCCGCACTAATGGATCAAACTTCAATCGTGATCGTTGTATCTTCTTGGAAGTGTTCGCTGCGAATCGAATCAAAGTCGATTACAAACTAGAAGAACATTTATCAAAAGAGGGATACGTCATCACATATTATAAGGAACTTGTGTACGTGTATCTACCGAAAACAGGGGTTCCTCACCGACTGATGTTCCATACACTCAATCAATCACATTTCGTATGAAATTGAAAATTTTATACGTGACGGAACACTTGTTTGATCCGAACACCTTCTTAACCTGTCAATAGTTGCATTCGACATATGAAACATATTCCACCAAGACCTCTATGGTCTAATTAAAAGTCGAAACAACAATTAAAAGCAACAGAAGATAGTAGTTTTATTGAAGATTGTTATCTGCTCGTTGTTCGAAATTAAAAATCATTTTCCATAAAACATGAGTCAAAAGAAAAAAAAATAACACCTTATCTCACAACTTCATACTCGGTACTAATAAGGCCGCGTTATTGAGTTATTAAAAGCTGCTTTTTATGCCACAATAATCTGCATATTAAGCACCCAGGTGTAACTAACTCTAAGAAATTACAGATTTCGGTAAGTACAAATTGTAGGTTTTATATCGTTTAAAATGTATTAAGCAATTTTAGTCGGAAAAATAGATAAGCCCCTAATAGACAATAATTAAGCAGGAATTACCAAGATTAATTAATGATTTTAACCCGCAGTAAACACGCAGTCAAAATATACTTCAGGATGGTGATAATAAAAATAAAGAAGTTATCGATATAGTT